ATAAGCTAAGATAATTAAGTGAAATAAGATATAATACCAATTCATACTGTTGTAGAGAAACTATCCACCCAGTAATGGGGTGGCATATTAGCATGAATTAACATGGTCAAACCTGTCTTGACTATATTTCAACGTTTTCTTTCTGCAATCCCATTCTGTTCTGGAGTGCCAGGGCAGGATACCCGTAATTTAATGCCACAAGCTGCTAGATGATTAATGAAAGCCTTACTTGAGAACTCACCACCACCATTGCATTGAAAATTTTTGATGTTTTTGTCAAATTGTGTTGCTATCATCTTTTGAAATTTTTGAAAAACATCAAAGAAGTCAAACTTCTTATGCAGAGGATAAAACCAAGTAAACCTGCTAAAATCATCCACAAAAATCACATAATAAACAAAGTGGTTAGTAGATTGAACTGGAGAAGGCCCCCACAAATCACAATGAACTTTTTGAAACAAAGCCACTGCTCTTTCATTATTTTTATTAAAAGGAAGCTTACAACTCTTCCCCATTTGACAACTAGAGCATAAATGAAAGGGCTTAGTCCATTTTGATACTACAATATTATTTTTCATGACTAAAGCTTTTAGCACATTAGAATTAGGGTGTCCTAATCTTTGATGCCAAATGGAATCTGTAGCTTTATTTGAAATTGCTGCAAGGGCATGCTTCTCTTCTTCTTCCAGTGCATAAGGTTGTCCTTTCCTAATTCCTTTGGCCACCACTGCTTGTGTTACTTGGTCCTTGATCACAAAACCATTAGATGAGAACTCAAACACACAAGGATTTTATCAGTAAACTTACTAATAGATAACAGATTTTTCTTGAGTTCAGGAACAACAAGTACATCACTAAGATTTAAGGAACCAATAGATGCTGAACCAATATGAGAAATATGAAGTGGAGTTCCATCACCTGTAAAAACTTTTTGGTTTCCATTATATTGTCTTTTAGTATAGAGATTACCTGGATCAGAGGTCCTATGATCAGTGGCACCAGTATCCATATAGGTACTTTTGTTTTTGTCATCCATTATGGTAAGTGCAACCAATGCTTGAGGAATTTCTTCACTTTGGTAGGCATGGTCAAATCGATACTAGCACTTTAAAGCATTATGTCCAGCAATTTTGCATATTTGGGACATGTTTTCATCTTTCTAAGGTAAGCTTTTCAGTTGGTATTTTTGTGACATGGTTTGCTGTGGAGTTGGGTTGTTGTTGGCTATACTATTTCTGTTGTTGCTAGACCAATTATGATTGTAGTTGCTAGCCTGAACAAACCCTCTACCTCTGGAGCTAAAGTTTTTGCCACCATATCCTCTACCATGTTGACCTCTCCCCCTTTGTGCAACAAACACTTGAGCATATGCTAAAGTTTTATCCTTGTTTTCCTGCTCTGCTGCCTACAGCTCCCTTTCATTATTTTACAAACCTGTAATATATTGGTTGAAAGTAGGATATGGCCCTTTTGACCACATTGCTAGATTGTAAGGTTGATAACGTGTTCCTACAACCCTGGACAGCTAAAACACCTTGTCCAAGTCATCGACGGGCTTGCGGATTGCAGCTAAGCTATCGCAGGCTCCTTTGAACTTCCTTATGAAATTTTCAAGAGATTCACCATCTCCTCGCTTGATTGTTAATTGCCCCTTAAGGTGAATTTCTTGTTCCTTAGTAGACGCAAGGTAATGATCTTCAAGACACCTCCAGATTTGGCTAGTTGTATCACATCCAACAACTAAACTCAGTGCTTCTTCATTCATGGTTCCAAGTAACCAACTAGTGAGCAATCCATCATTGTTTAACCAGACCTCATAATCTGGATTTATTTCTTCTTTTCCATTCCTTGTGATATTCATCGCAGGTGCCTCCTCTTCAAGATGGTTCATGAGTTGAGCACTCCGGATTAACAGAAAGACCTGAGATTTCCAAAGTAAAAAATTGGTGTTTGAGAGCTTAACCAAGATTAAGCTTGCCATTTGATGGAAGCTTTGAATGGTAAGCTTAGTCTTATTCTTTGACACTGTTTGATTTGATGAAACTGTTTCGAACCGAAATGTGAGGAAGTATGAAAGAAAGTTTCAAATGTAGCAGAATGAAAACAGACTATAGTATTCAGATGCATATGTTATTCTGCTCTGATACCATGAAGAAATGCAAAACCAAATAAGAATACTGAAACTATATTGATTATGTTAATTTGTACAAAACTTGTGTATATATATATAGCTACAGAAGCATAATTACAGGGATATATTTAGATCCTAGAATTTTGCCTAAGATCATGGAAATGACCGTTGCACCAATTCTTCCTTGTACTGTGCTTTAGTTTTTAATTGCCTGAGATACTTTCCCTTTTTCTTTTACTTGTTGTTTCCTTTGTTGGTTGAGGTCTTGATTCTTTGCTTGTTAATTCTATACTTGATTCAACTTCCATCGCAAAATATATAAAAGAAGCTTATTGAGTTGGGATGGAAATAGGTATGACATTGA